TAAAAATTGTGGTGACAATATAATCACCATTTAACAAATCTTCGATATAGGTGTTTAAATCGTTTAAGATTTCATGTGGGCTAATTAGCATAAAACGTCTTTACCTTTAATGTTTTTTGTGCAAAATGTATCCTTTTTTTCACTATTATTTTAACTTTTTATTGCGAAAAAAGGTTATTTCATCCACCTACCGTCCGTTGTTCCGTTAACTCAACATAAAAATCAAGGATAATGAAATGAATAGTAGTTTTTTGGAGAATGTGTGGTTAAAAAAAAGAAAATATTTTTGGATTTACATGTAATATTATTTTATTTGAGAATGTGTGGTTGATAAAAAGAGAGGGAAAATGAATTATAATTTAATAGAGGAATAATGGATCAAACAGGGGCTATTCTTAGCTAGCTTATCATCAATAACTCAATTGGTTTATACCAATTTCCTATTTTATTGGAATTTGCCACTTTGAAAGTAAAACCTTTAAGTGAAAGTTAAATAGAATGTTATAACACTAAAGAATTTCAAATTTGAGCAAGAGAATCTAACGAAATTCATTCAACTGAATTCATTTGAAAAATCTTCTTAGTTGGTCATTTCAAATATATAAACATATACGAAAATTGACACAAAAATAATATTAAAAAATTTGTATCAGAGTTCAAAATTAAAAAGAAATGAAAAGATTTGAGACAAGCTAACATAAAAAATTGTTTTGCAATCTTCAATAAAGACTTGACTTTAGGCGCAATTTCATAATTTCAATCAATCCTAGAAAACAATAAGCCATTTTGAATATAAAAAATAAAGACAAGACGAAATTTAATCTAATAAATATAGCATCAAAAGAAGACACCGAGTCTTAATTGCTTCATTAAAAAAAAAAAAACAGTGTAAGATGCATACATTCAAGGCCTGAAAACTAAAGAGGAAAAGTGTTGTTTGGACTGCCAAAAAAAAAAAAAGTCTCCGCGCCAACACCGTGTCCTTACAGCGCAGCGCGGAGACTTTTTATTTTTTATTTTTAAAACAGTGCTAACAATTAAGATGCTTGGAACCAATTTCTAAGATAAAATCAAATTCTTCAAAATAGAAAGACAAATCAAATTATTCAAACTCTAATACGTCATTTTTTATAGCAGACTAAGAAAAAAAATATGGAAATGGATATATATAAGATGAGTATAAAATGAATATATGAAGTATGAAATTATAAAATTGGAGGATTGGAGGAGTGAAAAATGGGAAAATGAACAGCAACATCTCATTGGTTACTATTGCATATATAGTACCCCAAAACTGTATTTTTTATATAGTAGTGATATAGTCATTAAGACAAATAATTACCATTAAATCCTATGTTAGCTTCATTAAGTATCAATGTGTAGACAAATGGCGTTATTTATCACCTTAAATTAGCAAAAAATTGTTTCTAAAATTTGTGGGTTTATTAAAAGACTGCAATCTACAAATCTTACCAAAACTAGCCATTTGGCTTAGTAGTTGTTAATTAACAACTAGAGTTTTTAGTGGTTTGACGGTTTAATCTACCCATAGAAGTTGTGTATCGGTGTAAAATAAGAATCGGGTTCTTATTCCGATTTATGGAGAAGTTCAAGTACGACATGTGTCCGATGAGCGTATGAGTGGTCATGCATAATGGCCTTTGACCGAGAATAAAACCAAGAAGTGTACTAAATATCCACAGAAGTGGAGAGAAATTAGAGGTGTCAAGATGGACTGGCCGGCCAGACCCGTGAAAATCGGCCCCAATCAACCCGGGATCGCGGGCCGACCCGGGACCTGAGCGGGCGGTTCACGGGTCAAGAAGGTGTGACCAGCGGGCTTCGCGGGTTGCACCTTCACAGGCCGCGGTTAACCCGCTGGCCCGTGAATTTTTTTTTTTCAAATTGAAAAGGGAGGAGGTAGGTGCCAACCAAGTTGGAATGTATTTAAACTATAAATTATAATAAAAGAAGGTGCCAACCTAGTTAGGATGTACTTATACTATAAATATTTGATAATAGTAATTAGAAATCCATTTAGTTGTTATTTGTTTAAGTTAAATTTAATTTTGCAAA